GCTCATTCATTCATTTATTCATTCAGTGAGTACCAATGATGAGTGCCGACCATATGCCTGGGCCACACACCGGAATGACAATGTAAACAGTACATCCATGATCCCTGCCCTCATGTTGTTTATCGTCTAGGCCCTTTATATATATATTACTTCTAATATTCATAGTTCTCCATAGTGGGCATTATTCCTACTTCGTAGGATAGGACTCTTAGGCTTAGAGAAGTAAAACAATTTATTTACTGTCACATAGCTGTTGATTGGTGGAGCTAAGATTCAAATATCAGTCCGACACATTCCAAAAGCCAGGTTTATTAGATTCTTCTTGCTATATTACACTGGCCTTAAACAATGAATGTGTTCTTGAAAGTTGCATAATTCAATGTTTTCTAAAATATATATCATGGCTTAAGAAAGCAAGGAATATGTCTGAAAAGCAATCATTTTTCCTTTTAATATATATCAGATTTATAGAAAGAAATGTACATCAGTAAATAGGACACTGGATCAAAGGGCTAGTGTATCTTTCAGAAGGTTAGTAAAATATAGTATTTACACACGGTCTGAACTGCATTATACCAGACAATCTTGAACATGACCTGCACACTCAGTGCTTGCCTTGGTGGCTCACATCTGATAATGCCACTTACTGGCCATAGGGCATTGGGTATATTACATAATCTGTCTGAGATTCTGTTTCTTCACCTATAAAATGTGATTGTTGTCATTTATCACATGGGGAGATACAAACAGTAAATGGAGGAAAGTAGGTAGAAGGCTTAACAGCAATGGGCAAGCTTCAGTCTCTTACCTTCCCCCACATATGACATCCCTAGCTTTTCTTACAATGGTAGTAAAACACATCTATATTTAGCATTTACAGAGAAAAAAACTGCTCCAATGGAAACGTCCTAGAGCATGAAGATCAAACCTAAAATATATGGAAACATCCTAGAACATGGTAAAACCTAGGACACAAATGAGGATTAAAAGCTTTTAGGATACATTTTCTGGATGACTCAGGTTTAGGGTGACTGAAGAAGGGTTTGAATAGATAATCCCTAAACCACAAGTAATCTTCCACTTATGCAAATTAGGTATGGATAAACACTCAACATTAATACATATAGAGTATATCTATAGACAAATAAGATTCTCTCAAAACACATGAGAATGTATTTAAAAGACTATTATTTAAAAAAACAAAATATCAAAAAAATTCAAAAGACTATTATTTGAAATTGTCACCCTGAATTTATATGTATTAAAATATTCATATCATTCATGTATTCAACAAATGTTTACTGGGTGTCCAGTAATTTCAGGGCACCATGCTAGCATTGGGCATACAGCAATGAACAAAATAGCAATCTTTTCTCCCTTCCAAACCAGTTTCGAAGCCACATGTGCAATCAGTCACATTATTTACTGATAAAGAAATACCACTAAGAGAATTCAGGTCTGACTGACTGAAGCCTAAGCTTATTATAAAACTAGTCCTGAGTCCCACCAATTAGGAGAAAACATTAAACTATGCATGTCTAGGAGAATATACATAGTTAGCAGAGGACAGCTTTCCTAACACAATAGAAGAATGCCTTGGGACTATGTCTACAGTCCTCCAAGGAGAGTGTCTCACATTTCCTGAGCCTGATCACTGTTAATTATGATGATGAAAAAAGATTTCCTTTTTTTAGCCTTGGAAAGAATCCTATCCAAATAATTTTTGGAACGTTAAGATTACATTATTTATCTGGTTCAGGTTTTAAAAATATTTCAGATTTCTTCTGCCAAAAACCAAGCCCTCTTTCCTCATGGAGAGCAACGTGGATTTCTGAAACAGGTCTTCCCCTGACATTACTTGGGAGGTGGGCATGTTTTCCCCAGAAAAGTAAACAAGGGAATAAAAACAAGGTGACTCAAAGGATGAGGAAGTATGTTTTTCTAGAGAACAAAAGATCCTTTCACAGTATGTCAAAGACTTAACTATGAACTTTCCTGAATGTAAACATTGTTCAAATGGCAAAAGGAATTTCATCTATGTCTATAAAAGGTCCTGCACAATAGTCTTTGCTTGAAGCTAGGCAGTAAAATAATCTTTTCTTCAAATACTTTGCATACAGACCTACAAAACCTTTATCTTCTCAGGAGATACATAATTATAATTACCTTCATAATAGCAATAATAACAAATAGATCAGAGTACTGCCAAAGGCAATTAATGTCATAAATTATAAGCAGGATCATTTATGCTTAGAGTCTTCAGGAATAAAGAAATGCTTTAACAGGTTAAAATACTAGGCTGATGCTTTCCATTCAGCATAAGAGTTTAAAACTTACATGGCAGTACATTTCTTTAAACAGATTTTGTTATGATCACAGAAGAGGAATATTAAATTTTAAACTGAAAGGGATTATATCAGTTAGCTAAAATATTTAACTTTTCCTATTTTAAGGTTTTATTCTTTACAAACATTCTAGTTCTAATAAATCTAAAATGGACGATAACTATGTTTATAATATTAAGAGATATATGTTAATGAACCAAATGATATAATTATTATTGGAATGCCAAAGGTCTTTCCTCACCCCTGCAGATTTTACAGACATTTTATTATCCCCATTATCAGCCTAAATCCTACAGCAGCCAACCCCTGAGGTTATTTCTCCCATCACTATGGAACGATTGTACAATTTTAAGAAATGACCTATAAAGAGTACAACTGCAGGGTCAGAGGATGTTGAGATTTTATTTGGAGTTTTCTATTTTCAAATAATGAGTACAAAATTAGCATGAGATGTTCTCCAGGACCCTGTGGGGTGGGGTGAGAGTGTGGGGGAGATAAAAGGGGACAGTGGTAGGGTCACTGTGCCTCAGAGATCAGCATCTGTGTGACATTCCCTCTTGCACCCCCATGTCCATCGATGTGAGCAGGGTCAGCTCTTTCCAGTAATCACAAAGGATACTGGAAGTCAAAGGAATGTTTCACTCAGTCAAATCCTTGAGAAAAGGGCTTGTTGCTTCCTCAGAACTCCTGGGATAGTGCAGGGCACGGAGGAGCTCCTGAATGGTTTATTCCATATGGAAGAAAAAAGGTGGAACATTTAGAAAGAACAATGGTGTTTTCTGGAGCTACCCTTGGCCAGAATGAGCCCAGCACTTCTGGAGGAGGAGTGTGAGCATTCAGGTTCCTGGAAGGGACTGAGCTGGGCAGAGGAATCTTGAGGCTCACATTCTAAGAGCAGTAACAAAGAATGAACTAAAAAATTCCCTCTTCCCCAGTTCTCCTTTCTGAAGGAAAGGAAGAGCCCTAAAAGTGTGTCTTTTCAAGTTCTAATTTATTCTAGTTCTGCCATGAAGTAAATGTATCCTCCCAGGTAAGTCACTACATCTTTCTGGGGCTCAATTTACTCAACATGGCTGCCCTGTGATCTCTGGAGTTCCTAAAGTTAGTGACAATACCGAATATTTACCGAGCACCGATATTTGTCATATACTGCAAGGTTCTATGCAAGAATTATCCCATTTAGTTTTGCAGCTACTCTTTCAAGTCTTATCATTCCCATTTTATCTGAAGAAACCAAGGCTTGCAGAAGAAACATTGCTCATGTCACCAGGCTAGTACAGAATGCAGTCAGGATTCAAAGGCTGGTCTGTCCAATTCCAGAGTTGTTTTTTTTTTTTATGAGTTACGCCATACTGCTTCCACTCCACGATTTTTGCAATAATAACCAGGCATAAATCTTTTTTTTTAAAATGAGCCATTAGTTTAGGACTGGAAGAACAAACTAGATATAATCTATACCTTTTCTCCTTGTAGGAGAGGAAGTTTGGCTTCTTCCCCCAGCTTCTGACTGCCATGTCTCCCTTCCTAGCATCTGGCAGGGAGGAACTGCCAATCTGACTGCGCAAAGACCAGGGTGTCCATTGGGCTATACTTTACAAGTGAGCAGAGTCATTTTGCATG